TGTCCTGTCGGTTGTGATCGGGAATATTAATTATGATAGTGGGCGCTCACCGATCAGGTTACGGAACATGCTCGTTCCGTTGTGCCTTGGGGCTCATACTTAAACCCTCGCAGGCAGTCGCACAGCGACTAGTGATATATGTTGAGAAGATGATACGGACAAAGACAAGGGAGACCGGAATGGCCATTTCTGGCTTATTAGCCGTCATCAGCCAGTCATACCCAACCCCTAGTGTAGATCACTTGAGATTCCAACCCGGGATATTTGGTCATGGAGTTGAACGCAAGGCACAACGGAACGAGCATGTTCCGTAACCTGATCGGTGAGCGCCCACTATCATAATTAATATTCCCGATCACAACCGACAGGACAACGGGCCCGTGGCTCAATGGTAAAGCGTTCAACTCCATGACCAAAGATCCCGGGTTGGAATCTCAAGTGATCTACACTTGGGGTTGGGTATGACTGGCTGATGACGGCTAATAAGCCAGAAATGGCCATTCCGGTCTCCCTTGTCTTTGTCGGTATCATCTTCTCAACAGGAAATTTATATTTGTTTATAATTGCACAAACAACCGAGAATGTCTTATGTAAGTTAGCAATTCAATTGAACCATGTTGTGTACTTCAATGAATACATTGATAAGCGAACAGATATCCTACTAGTTATGTAAGCATATCTCAACCCTAAAAAGCTCATATTTATAAACCTGTTAAGCTAAATACCTTGATTTTGCAAGTGAGAACTTCGAATAACGACGAATCTCTTCCGAATAATTGCAGGAAAAGAGAGTTTTTTTGTAATTTATTTTGGATACGTTTTAATTTGATGGGGCATCCAAAATCACAGCAATTAAGTAGTCCTTTCTAGCGAATGCGGATTCTTCAATCGATCCAAATGAGGTGCGTTCAAAAAACCGACATTCCAATGTAGGTTAAATATCTTGAGATTGTGCTGCATAATACTCTATAAAAGAACAAAGCGTAAATGAGCCTTCATAGTCAGAAACACATTTCAGAACTTTAGTCTACAAATCCTGAAGTTGACCAATGACTGGAAGTTCAATAAGAAATTAAAATGTCAATGCGTACGAACAGTCAGAACCGTTAACATCGAAACCATAAACCTTCAATAAATTTTATGTTTAATCAGATGGTTATTCTTCCCACCTCTCCACCTAAAGGAACAGGCAACATAAATTTTGCAATATTGGAGATAAAAAATATCACAAACGTTAACTACGTGAACATCATGTCCGAATCCGGATCACAAACATACCCAATAACATTCCATCGACTGGGCCAAACCGGGGACTCCACAAAGAAGGGCAAGTTACATTGTTTGAAACATCAATTAAATATAATTCTACTTACGCACATATCAGTACACTGATGTAGACTGTTTCATACTTTTGTTCGCCTCTGTAGTTCATTTTCAGGTGGATTCTAACACAAAGCTGGATATCTGTCCAAGTGCGAACGTAGTCAGGCTTAAGTGGACTGTGAATGGTAACGCATCGGACGCTGGCGAGGTGAGATTTGTTTAATCGCATGACTTCACTAAATCCACCGGACATCCTGACAGAATTGAACTTTCTTTTAGTTCAAATGTCATGACAATGGAGTCCGCAGATGCACCGGAGTTTCGAATAGCGGCTCGGGCTTAGGAGTTTGTCGTACGTAAATTATATGCCCCTCGTTATAATTGTTTGATGATTCGTTTTTTCATTGTTCATCGGTCGCATAAACAGTTTACACAGAATTGGACCAGGAAAATGGATACTCTTTTTCTTCACTTGCGGCGATTTAGAGTGTAGGTAGTTTTAACATAGTACTCAAAGACTCGAATGCGGTCTAACAAGCATTCGTCGTATCATTTATGAACACCAGCAATGAATGCGGGAGCTACGCATTCGACTAGGGATCTGGCTGCGTGGCTATTATGGACTATAGAAACGAAACTCCTCCTGCCTTATTTGCGACTGCTTCTGATCTTTGCTGATACTCCCAAAATTGGAATACCTACGAGCAAATCTCCCAGATAGTTGCCATTCTGTTAACCTACAGTCTTATGAAGGTTGTTATTTCCAGAAATATCTTTGTTAAGAAAACCTGGCAGGAGTTCCTTTCGCTCTGGGCAAAAACGCCCGAGAAATTGAATAGAGGAACAGTGATCGAATATATTCGGAGAACTGCAGACGGTTAGCTAACAGCCACAATCCATTTTAAACAAATGGCTGAAGGATATGTATGTACAAACTACTTACAGAGACTAGTTTTGATGGCGATTGTGCTTATGCTGTTAGATTTGTTCAGGCACTTTGGTGGACATGCCGCCGATTGACTGAAGGCTTTTCGTAAGCTTACGCATATTTCGTTTGCTATGTCATCCTGAACAAAAGACGATGGCAAACATCGCCAAATATCCCAGACGCTCCGTTCTGCACGCGTGTTCCTTTTCGGTTTACCGCTCCTTCTAACTTGAATAATTTTAAAAACTGTGACTTGTTGCAATTGACATAAGAGTCGGAAAATTTAAATGCGCAAAAAACAATAATACAACGATTCTTCTCAATGCAAATAAGGTTTCAAAATCAATACAAAACAGCGCAATACAGCTTAAAGCACAAGAATGAAAAATCGAAGTAATTTTTAGCCTGCTTGAATTGGTTTACCAAATGGTGTAAGCAAATTTATACTTTTTAGGTATAAATATTTACCCGACATACTTCACTCACGATGCGTTCCTCCAAAGAAAAAGTTTTGAAAGATTTTCGTTCTACTCCTGCTCTCTGGATAGTTCCATGCAGTATTCAATGACATTCATTGTGGACTGGATTGGTAAGCTCGACATCTCTACCCAAAGTTCACGGTCTCCAATTACTCCACCTTATTAAAATACAAGATTCGCATTTGTGTCCTTGTTTTTTCCATCGGATGATTTTTCGTTCCCGACCTAAGATAAAGCAATTTAAACCTAGTGAAACCGCACACTGGAGCTGAAATACGTTGGTCATACTTAGAACAAATAGACGTTCTGAGCTAAAACAAAAACGGGCGAACCCAAAGATGGACCTGACGCTCCTTCACAGTCAGATGACATAGTTCAAAAACGACTCTGTTTAAAAAACCGTGTCTAAGTGTCTATTACTTCCATCTGAAATTCATTGCATGAGTGCTGGCTGACAGTCGCCTCCGGGGTGCGATTCGGACGAAACCCTACTGCCAGTGGTCACATTCACGCCCAGCTGAAGCCACGTCTGCGAAAGCTGCGCATTGGATGTGATGATGATGTGATGTCGTATTTTCTGCACCAACTGTTAAAACTTCTGAATGCAAGACAGTCGGTGCCTATTTCATGGTGCTGCATCTACCAGCGTGTCATAGACACAACATGTTGATGGATTCAGCTGCATAAGAATTCATTATGCCGCGTATAGTAGGGAATAATGGCAGGAAGCTGTATACCATATCAAATACGTGATTAAATCTACCGATTAAATCTACTAATTAAATCTGCCTTGTGCCATCGTGCTCTTTTTCTGCCGCTATGGAGTAACCGCTGGACATCGTTGAA